AATTCATGCGTGGTTGCACGTTCTCCATGTTCATGAAAATGGTTTGAAATTTGGGTTTGAATTAAACATCCTTGGGCTTTGATTTCTCAAAATTGAGCTTTGAACCATGTTATTCTATGTGTTAACAAGTGTTTTCTGGAAATTCAGCCCAAGAGGTCGAGTTTTGAGTTGTTAAAACTTGGTTTTTGGCTTGGAGGTGCAATCTGGGTTTTCTAGATTTTACACTTCCGCTCGAGCGGGGAAAGTGGAGCTCGAGCGTGGAATCCGAGCATCCAGCATTTCTCTGCACTGTTTTACAGTCCGCTCGAGAGGAGGATTGGGCGCTCGAGCGGAGTCTTGCGTCTCAAGCTCGAGCGGGCGTCGAGCGGAGATTTCACCCATCCAGTACTTTTACAGTACGCTTGAGCGAGGAAGTTGACGCTCGAGCGTGTACCTTTGTTGCACGTCCGCTCGAGCAGGGAAACCTGCGCTCGAGCGGGACTCTGTTTTTCTGAAAATTCTGAAAATGCTTTTAAAAGTACATCTTTGCATCCTCATTTCATTCTAGGCATTCCTAGGCCTAGTTTAAGACATCTTATCGAGGATATAGATGTAGAACACACCGACTCAAATTAGGGGTTAAGTTATTATCTTTCCCAGCTGTGTAGCTTAGTGTGTAGGATTGGTGACTGGGGAGACACGCTCTAGCATACTGTAGCCCAAACTCTGTGAGTAACAATTGTATAAAGATATGTTCAACTGAGAATGTTTTCTGACTGTTTAATGAAACTGTTTTCTGAAGTAATTATTGTTAATTGTTTGAATGTATGTCCTATATTCTGAAATGTATTGTGGCATCCTTAGCAACTGTTGTATACTGTTACTGCTACTGTTACAGAGATCTCTGTCGGTTCCCTTGTGGAACCACCACTGTTTACTGATTGATGGCCATCATTACTGTTCGGTCTTTAAGACCTACTGTTTACTGCTATGCTAATGGATGTACCACATATGACTGAATAACTGTTCTGACTGAAAGACTGAAGTATTGTTTAATGAACTGCTTTCATTACTGTGATGACATTTCATTCTTAACCTCTTTACGCATTATGTTATTCACTGGGCTTTAGCTCACTGTTTATATATATATGTAGGTGCTCAGCCACCAGATCGGAGCTAGGAGCGTGGGTTAGACTCCAGTTTTGTCAAGCCAGCCTATGTGCCTCACAGCGAGGTTCCGAGCCTATCATGTTAAGGCTTAGGGGTGTTTTAGAATCCCCCCCCCCCCTCTGTATTGTCTTACTGTTTGGATTACTGTATAGACTGTCAGCTACTAACTGTATTGTTATCAAGGGATTAGGTCCCTGTACTGTGTGACTATAAATTTTGTATAGATTGTACTGTTTGTATGTATGAATGCATGAAAAATCTTTTTGGCATACAGACTGTCACAGCTCAATGGACATTATTTATTTACTGTACTGGCTTCCGCCAGGCCCTGTACTGGCTTCCGCCAGGCCCTGTACTCTGTATTACTGTATTACTGTTCTGCAGGCCTTCGGTAATCTCGGATTACTGGCCGGTTACGGTGCTAAACCCATAGGGCCGGCTTTGGGTCGTGACATTTTCGTTCTTCCTTATTGCTATCCCGAGTTTCACTTGTTTCGAAATATGCGAGGTTGGATCCGAAATGTTTTGAGTTGAACCGAAACTCTTCCTGGTTGGAGGACAGAGCCGCACATGCGGGGGCTTGGGCCGCACATACGGAAGGAGGGCCTCACCTGCGGGAGGTGAGGCCGCACGTGCGAAGATCAGGGGAGGTCCAAGATGCAACACTGTAATATATGCAGGTGCGGCTGGAGGTGCGAGGTGAAAACGCCGCACACGAGAGTGAGTGCTGCACGTGCAAGAGGCACGCTCCGCACGTGTGGAAATGGGTGCTGGACGTGCGGGACACCGCTGAGTCCGAAAAATTTTGTCTTTTCTCTCTTTGGGGCTGAATGTATATCACTTTTTCATAATATCACTCTCTCTAAAAACCCTTTTCTTTCCCTTCTCTCTACATTTCCTACACCAAATTAGATCAAAACCTTGATTTCTTTAAATCCATTAGATTTTTTACCAAACATCCTTCATTAAAGTTGGATAACTTCTCGAGGACTTCATTGTGTATAGTGAAGATTGGGTTTCGTCACCGTTGGATTTGGGACTTTCATCTCTTTTCTTCTCCAAAACTTGAGGTAGGGATTTTCTTATAGTTATCTTTTTTTTTTCTTTTTTTTGCAAGATATAGTTGATTTTGAAACCCCATTGATAGTATTGAAATTTTGATTTTTATTTTTATTTTTTATTCAAGAATATGAGTAATTTTGAAAGTGGGTTTACTCCTTGTTTCTTTGAAGTAATCTCTTGAGGGTTTTGAACTACATTGATTGAAGAAAAAATGTTTTGGAGAGATCCTTTCAAATGGTTTGGGCATGTATAGTTGTTGTGAGAAAACTTAGAAATTAGGAGTTTTAAAAGATGTTGAGAATTCATGGATGGCATTGTTACTATTATATTTCTTTTGTGCCAAAATGAATGAATGATTGAAAATTTTCTTATTTTTATATACAAATGATGAATTTCATGGAATATGAGAATTTTGACCTTGAAAGTTGTTGTCCAAATGTTGATATAGTCATGTGATGACTAAATTGTTGGGAATGCACAAAGTATGGGAATGTTGCTACTCATTGATGGATTTAAATGAATATGTGGCTATTTTGTGAAATGACATTGAAAGGAGAAATGGAAATTTTGATTATTGTGGAATTATTGCATGAGATAATTGAAAATGGAGAAATATTATGTGGCATTGATAATTGTGGCATTTACATATCCATTCAATTTGTTGTTACAAATTTTGAATTGAGTTTGGAAACTTTAGTTTTGAGAAAAGAAGGTTTGTGAATTAATTTTTTTTAATGGAATTGTTTTGGGATAAATACGTTGGTAAGTCCGGATAGGAGGTGTAGATGAAATTGATTAAGTTGGCCTGAGAGTCTTGGGTGAAAGACCGAAAACACGCGTGGAGGAGGTACCACTTCCCTTCCGGTTAGCAATCGGTAAAGTGGGGCTTTGGTAGTGCTAGTTATGCCTACTTGCAGACACCAACCTAAGGATTACCTAAGGCTTATTTACCGCCCCCTTGAACTAAATTGAACATTTTTGAGATGTTGAGATTTCAAGGTACCATTGAGCATGATGGTTTTCAAAAGATGAGGAATGCGATTTTTTTTTTTAAAAAAAAAAGGCATAGCATTGCATGTGTATTTCATTTCTTAAGACTTATATAAAATGTATATACTTTGTTAAAAATTTCCTACTGGGCTTTATACTCACCATATGGGATTTTGGTGCAGGAAAAGATGTGGTGATTCCGCCAAATTAGGACGTGGATGTATATGTTGAGAGCATAAGGCTCTTGTTTTGTTGTGGTATATTTTGTTAGCCAAGAGCTATAATTGTGTGGGTCCGAGAAGCTATTTTTGTGTATAAGTCCTGGAATTTGTAGGCCCTTGAGGGTATTTATTTATTTTTAGATTGAATATTCTACATGCTATAGATTCATGTACTAGAAACCATTGAATGTATATTCGCATGTGGAATTATTTTGTATAACACCCAATGATCATGTAGTGCAAAGTATTGAGGATTTATTCTGGTTTATCATAAGGAACCATGGTTAATGTTCTATCTTTTTGCATAATTTTTCGGGCGTTACATGGCGGATCTACCATCCCGCACTCATATGAATCCAATCTGTCCATAGATAAAGTTGAAAAAAAGAAAAATACTAACAAGTAACAAAATAGAGTAAAAATAATAAAATATATATATTTGTGAAAATAAAAAACAATACTTTAAAAATATGCATGTGTGGTGCCCTGGCCTATTATAGACAAATAATATATATTTTTTTAGATTACTAGTTATTAGAGATTGTAAAAGTAATAAATTATAACTCAAAATAATGTCCCAAAATTTGTAAAATCCAAACTACCAAACCACCAAACCGATCGTATCTATCTGCCAACCCGCATGATCCGCTCAATCCACATCCACCAAATTGGTGAACGAATGCGAATTAATTTTTTTAATCTACTAAATTTTGAATGAATGATAGATAAAATACCACCCGACCTAATTCGATCTACGACCACTCTGGAGAAAGTGAGAAATTACCCTCTTTTAAGCCCATTCATTTATATCTTCACCGTCTCATCTACTTCTTATAACGAGAACAAGTTGGGAATTACCAACCATTTAGATAACATTATTATTTCTCCGCTACTTCTTATGATGGGGAGAAGTTGGGAATAAGAAAACATGAGGTAGTCCATGGCTACTTCCAAGCTCATAAATAATGGCAGCGGAAGATAAATTACTTAATACTTACCAAGAATCGAGTGACACTCATAAAATTTTAAGGGTAAATAATATTTGTGGTCCTTGTCATTTTCTTTCTTGTTAATTTGATTTTTAATTATATCAATTTTACCTTTTAAATTTCTTATCATTATGACAATTTAATTCAATTAATAAATTAGACAATAATCAAAAGAAAAATTATTTATTAAAAAGGAATTAGATCTTTTCAAATTAGATGTTAATCCTTCCATTTAAAGGAGAATAGACTATTTCAATTTGAATGTTAATCCCTCAATTACTTTGAGAAGAGTGAATTGACTATTTTACATATTGATTTTATTATAATTTCTAAAGATTATTGTTATTAATTGAACCAAGTTGACGCAATAGAAAAATAAAATTAATACAATTAAAACTATAAGGACCAAATTAACATAAAAGACAAACTATAAAGAGTACAAATATAATTTATCCAATTTTTAAAATTGTCAATAAGAAGATAAAATTTAAACAATCAAATTAATTGACTGGATTGACGGTGAATCCGGTTATAGATCAACCAATATGCATGCAATTTTCATTCCCATTGGCATATATACAGCGGTGTGTCAATGTCAAGAGGTCAAAACAAAAATATATATGATTGATATGTTCGTATCTGCCAATATTTAAAATCATAGCTACTTCTCAACAACTTCTTGTAATGAATTCTAAAGACAAGTTTTCTGGCCAGAACACCAGTTGGGAGTTCTGAAAGCAAGTTATGGAATTGGTTGGGAGATTCAAAACAAAACTGCCAGAATAGCCAAAAAAATGATGGGTAACACCTAACAATTTCATCACACTAATGATGCATTGTTTTAAATTGCATATATACAGAGGAAAGTAAGAAATGACTCCCTTTTAAGCCCATTCATTTACATATCTTCTTCACCTTCTCAACAACTTCTTGTATATATCAAAAGCATCAAACATGATCACCAATTAGCCATGGACTGGTTCTCCTGGCTGTCAAAAAGCGGCCTCAACCGCTCGCTCACATACGAGTATGGTCTCATATTCACTCGCAATGAGCTCGAAGAGGAGGATTTGAAATCCTTCAACCACGAATTCCTCCAAAGCATGGGGATCTCTGTAGCCAAACACAGGCTAGAGATTCTCAAACTTGCCCGAAAGGAGGTTGGAGATGGCTCGCGAAGCGTTTTGAGGCTCTTTTTAGCCATCAAGAAGGCCAGGAAGAGCTTCAAAAAAAGCATTGGCAAGTGGGCTCTTTTTAGGGATTCGGATAGCTCCACTGTGCCTGAGTTAACCCCTTTCCAGGCTCATTGGACTGGAGCCCTAAGGAAGCACCATAGTTCAAAGGAGTTCAGCCAAGAGAAGGTTATGGTCACAAATAGGAGCATAATGAGGTCTGGACCTTTGGATAGGAGGACCCATGAGAGAATGATGGTGACAAGTAGGAGCCTAAGTGTTTCTGGGCCTCTAGATGGGAAAATGCAAGAGAGATCCATAAACCGAAGCCCGGTCGTATCGGGCCCATTGGACAGTAGAGTTCAAGAGAGATTGTTTTTTGTCAACAAAAGCCCAGATATGTCATGGCCTTTGGAAGTAGGTGATTTGAGCCCAAGGGTCAATAATCACTATGGCAAAGAAAAAATGGTTGGTGATGATGATGGAGTTCAGCCACTATGGTCTCTTTTGTTTCAAGATATAAAACCCACTTGAAAAATGTGTGTTTTTTAATGTTTTATTGTGAGTGATTATCATTTTTGCAAGAAAAAACAATCACTTTTGTGTTTTTTTGGTTTTTTTTAAACTTCTCTAAAGATGTTGATCCAATCAGTTACATTAGGTCCATATTGCATGATTTTTCATCTTTGTAGAAATTATCTATGCAATAATAAATTCACTAAAGGAAGCGGTTGAGTGTGTTGAATTTATAAGTTTTCATTTTTTTTTAATTTTATTTTTGATCTACAAAAGTCAGGAGTTATTCTTTCACCCTTATAAAGTAACCAAGTGATTGCCCTCCTTATTGGGACTAACCCCAATAGAGAGTCATGGTGCCATGGTGGCCAACTAAGTTTACTAGCTTTTTAGTTTTTTTTTGATTTTTTAACTTTTTTTTATGACGGAGGAAGTGAATTAAAAATTGAGAAGTTCCTTTTAACCCACTTTTCAAAATAAATCATAGTTGATTAATTTATAAGTTTTTATGCAGACAAGACGTTATGAGTTTTATTTTATTTATTTTAATATTATTATTTTGTTAAGAATCTTCTAATTTATAGAATCGTAGAATTATTGATGGTTCAAACGGGCCATACAACTTGTACTGTGTGAACATGTAATTTTAAGCATAATTAGAGCAACTTTTCCTTTCTAATAAACAAATTTTCACTCTTCCTATATTTGGCATTTGATATACCAGAACAAAACAGTTAGAGTAAAATAAACATATTCAGAAACTATTGTTTACTTTAAAAATTGAAAAAAAACATTTAAACTAAAATTTTACAAATATTATCACATTACTACTGCCACCATCATACCCCACCACCACCGTCGCTACTCACACCATACAACCATTATTACAATGGTTTCAAAGATATGATCAAATATAAAAATAGAATAAATAAATAATATATATATATATATATATATTTATGTCTATGATCTAAACACATCGCCTAAGAGTATTTCCAACGGTGCATCAATTTTTTCATCAAATTTAAATAAAAATTTGAATAAAAACTCCCTTTGATATCAAATGCTCCAACGGAGAATTTTGGAGTTTCATCAGAACACGATCGACCGAGTGAACAACCGAGCAGATGTTCAGCCGGTCGACCGACCAATCTAAATTTTTATTTTTATTTTTTGCCTTAAGGTGTTTGATCGGGCGGATGTCTAGCCGATCGACCGGCCAGTGTAAATTTTTATTTTATTTTTTTGCCTTGAGGTGGTCGACCTGAAGGACAACCGAGTGGTCACCAATCAGTGTAATTTTTTCACAAATTTTTTCCTTGAGGTGGTCATATGGGAGGACATCTGGCAACGGTAATGAACAGTGATTTGATAAAAGACATATTTACCCTCAATTTGACAAAAGAAAAGTGAAATTCTCAATTTGATACATATTTGATGCAATCATTGAAGCAACAGCTAAATTCATTTTTCATCAAATTTAAATTTGATAAAAAGTTTGGGTAAATATTAGAGATGATCTAAGATAACTTTTTTGAAAAGTGTCAAACATTCTTCTTTCTTTAATTTAAAGGTAACAAAAAAAAATGGAAAACTTGTGAAACAGTCTATCTAGAGTTCGTTCACATACTTTTGGAAAGGTACCCCTTTCAGTTAGTGGTTGGTTAGTTGTGTAGCAACTGGTGAGACTTGTGTGACCAAAATGCACCTCTTTAATCTACTATATATTCATTATAAATAAATATTGTAATTCGTGAAACAAATAATTATAATAATAATAATAATAATGATAATAATAATAATTTCACATTTTGTGTGTAACAAAATTTGATAAATGTATTGTTACCGACTTGTGACATTATGATTGAGGGCAAACATGCACACGTTTATACAAAATTTAGTAAATTTATTCAGTTTTTTTTTTTTTCTTCTTTTTTTGAGTGTCCTTTCTAAATCTGTCATAATATGTTTCAAACATAATCTAAAATGTAATTGAAATTTGTTGTTCAGGAAACGGGTATATGTTATTTAAATTGCAATTATATTAGCAGAAAGTCTATAAATCGTGAAAGAAAAATCAAAGAAAACAATAAATATATTTAAAAATTTAAATTACAGTGTAGATCTAATTTTGTTATTGTGAAACCCTTCATAAATGAATCTTGACCCTAAATTGTAAATTATGAATAATTTTTTAATTTTGTTTCTGAATTTATAACTGTTGTTATATTAATCATATTAAAATCTTATAGTATTCTAAGGATGATAGCATTTAAAGATTAGTAATATTATGAACTTAAAAATTTTAGTCAAAAAATATTTAGTATAAACATTGTGTGGTTGAGATTTATGAAATTTATTTTAAGTATGAGTTCTGTTATACAAAATTTGAATTTAGATCATACATCACAATTCAAGATAAATAGCTTGATTTTTTTTTTTTTTTTTTTTTTTGAGTCTCTATCTTTTCTGTTTGAAGATTAAAACAAAATACATACACATGTGACCTGTACTGTACTAAGGACAAAACCATTAGCAAACTTGGTATTTAAAGTCTGCTTGGCCAGCTCAGAGAACACATACAATATTGGATATAGCCCCATTGTATGACACGACTCCATTAGCCTTATCCTTATGGTAAAAGAAAGAAAACAAAAGAAAAAACATCATCCTGATCCACTACAATCCTACATGGTACATACTTGAACATCATCACATGTGTTTGTCACAAAAGGGTACAAATGTAGATCCCTCTGTTTAGTGAAGTTTATTTGAGCTACTTAGAGTTTATTTAGAATTTATTTTTTATTACAATTTGTATTAAATTATTTAGAGTAATTTTTACTTACGATTTATTAAGTAAAAATAATTTAAATAATTTTTTTTTAAAAACTATTATTTAAAAATTGAGAAAGAAAGAACAAAATGAAAGGTAAAATGATCTTCTGTCAACCAAATCAATGGATTGGATCAGTAATTTCAACTCTTTTATGGGGATGCTAATTAGATTATGAGAAGAGATTGACAGTCTACAGGATTAGCAATCACATGCTATTTCTCTGTCATTTTGAAAACATAGTAAAAAGTCACGTTTTTTGACAAAATATCCAAAAATATGGTTGTCAAAAAGGCAACAAAATTCCTTTAGGAAGTGTCAAAAACGCAGTCCTAAAATTACAAATTAGGGTATGTATTTTGTTTGATCATTTTAATTTGATAAGGCTAATGGAGTCTAAGGGTATCTTGATCAGTCTAATGGTATCTTGATCATTTTAATTTGATTTGACACCATAAATAAATATTAAACATGCTAATTAGATTATGAGAAGAGATTGACAGTCTACAGGATTAGCAATCACATGCTATTTCTCTGTCATTTTGGAAATATAGTAAAAAGTCACGTTTTTTGACAAAATATCCAAAAACATGGTTGTCAAAAAGGCAACAAAATTCCTTTAGGAAGTGTCAAAAACGCAGTCCTAAAATTACAAATTAGGGTATGTATTTTGTTTGATCATTTTAATTTGATAAGGCTAATGGAGTCTAAGGGTATCTTGATCAGTCTAATGGTATCTTGATCATTTTAATTTGATTTGACACCATAAATAAATATTAAACTAAAAAGCAAAAAGTCAGCTTTTTACCAACTTCCCAAATCACTTCTAAAAAAGTCAAAAAGCTTGGTAAAAAGCCAAAAACTAACTTTTTACCGACTTTTCAAAACAACAAACAAACATAGTTTAAGTAGGACTCACAAATTGTTAAAAATAAAAATAAATACCATCAACATAAGATAATTGCAATGTCATAGAGTACATACAATTTATGCATTAGATTGTGTAACTAACTCTTGTACTTCTATCTTTATGCAATTATTTTAAATTTATACCATTTTATTGCAGTTGTTCCCAATTTTTATTTATTTTTATCATATTTGTTTGTTTTTCATGTAATGACCCCAAAATCTGTAACCGAAATTGCTTTTATGTCCTTGTGAGTTGAGGCATTTTAATTTGATTATATCTGTTCAAATTGAGGAATTACCTGTTGAGTCACAGCTTTAAAAATTGAAATTACCGACCTTTATGGGTTCAAAAATCAAAATTGAGTATTCGGATATGTTAATGAGAATTTTTAGAACTATTTGGGAAAATTAATTAGAAATTTAATTCGTCTGATCTGTTAACACATGTTTGGGTAACTAACTTTGTACTGTAAATTGAAGGCCTTAGAGGCCCAATAATTTGAAATTAATTCTATATTTGAGATTAGCATGACTTTTAGGTTATAATATGATTTTCTGTGAAATTTTGACTTGGAATGATTAAACTGGTTGATTTTCGTCTTTATTCACATTTTAGATATATATGTCCTTTGCCTATTTGATCTAGGGCCACTATTCAAAATATCTCCTGAGGGAGAATTAGAAGAGGAGAATTTTAGAGGGAAGGAGAAGTTCAACAAGGAAGAAAGTTGAGAAGGTTTAGAGATGGAAGCTCAAGGTGAGTTTAATCTACCTAGTTCAACATCTTTCTTGGATTTGAGTAAGAATTCCCTTTCATTTGTGAGATTAAGGTGGTAATTGGAGTTGTGTGTGTGTTAATTGTTGAATTGGGAAGATGTTCTTATCACTTGGTTGTTTGGAAGTAATTGAGTTGTATGGAAGGAATACATCTTATTCTTTGATTTCTTATGTTGAATACACATGGTTGTCCTTATATCTTATGTATATGTGTATCAAATATAAGGGAATTGAATTGTTATATGGAATCACCGCCCCGATACATGCATGACGTTGTTACCCCACCTACCCAGTTACCACCACCAGACAGTTCGACCGCGACCATGAGTACACATGATGCAATTCTCACTGACATCTCCCACGTTGACGCTGAGGGCCATATTGAGCCCCCCCAGAGCGCGCGGGAGAGGCCGAGGTTTTGGTCGTGGCGGAC